GCAGGTGAGGTCCCTCGGCCTGGCCTGTGGGGATTGGGCTGAAACGGGCTCTCCATCATCCCCTGAGGGGTCCCGAAGTTCGAGAGGGCACTCTGCAAAGTTGCTGTCTACCGAGTGTGGAACGCAAATGCAAGTATGCAATAAACCATACTGGGGGCCAGCAGTGCCCCAGCAACAGCATAACCCATGGCCAAAGGTGGAATTCCACGAGGAATCGGGCTCCCTCCTCTCTGGTTTCAGGGTTTGTCACCCGAGAACCCCCGCTGCCAAGTCAATGCAGCTCAGCAGCTCCTGCATTGAGCGTCTGCCCCCTGGTGGTCAGTGCATGCCATAGTGACTGGTCGGATGGGTGGAGGGACACTTAGCATATTAGCCTTTTATATATACAGCTAGATAAATGGGTATTTGGAGGAAGTCCCAAAGGGCAGAAAGTCAGCCTGATCACTTTTGTATATTCAAAGTGTCATTTCTTTCCTTATATACTGATTACCAAGGAATATAGTTATTGTGGAAACTTTAGAAAATATGCAAACATATAAAAAGGAACTTTTGTTTTAAACACTGATGATCCATTAAACATAGGCAGTTAATTTTGTTTCCATCACAAATTGCAGTAAAATAACAGGAAATATCTTTTTAAAGTGCACAAACCTACAAGGATAGCCAAAACAAAAGAGGAGACAACAGTGACATTATTTTGGAAGCTAGAAGCAGATGCTTGTATGATAATGGACTTAGCAGATGTGAGGAGCAAGCCTGTGTACATGACAGAATCTCTTAAAGTCCCAAGAATTGGTGAGAACAGTTACCAATTTCACTAGAAGTTGGAGTGAAAGGAGGCTCAAATCATCTGCATTGGTTAGAAGCTGTTTAAGATGCACTTACATCTCCAAATCCTCTCCCAATCTTCGGTGGGTACCTGGAGATACCCTCTGGAGATGATGAAGAGAGAGTATTAGGGGACATAGGCATAATTGATCAGGGTCAGGACACCTCAGTGAAGAGAGGGTGATTAAAGGACATCCTCATACTTCCTATCCCCCTCCTGCCCCACTTGCCCTCCAATGCATTGGTAGAAAGGCCTCTACCCAGACAAGCGGCCGGAAGGTTCCTTCTGGAGAATCTGACACCCAGAGACTTCTCTACTATAGCCCAGCTGGCTCCTCCTGTGGTGAAGGCACAACAGATAAGGCCCCCTGTGTGCTTGGAATCTCCATTCTGGTTTCTAGTAGTGGTTGTTCCCTTTCTTAGATATGAGCAGTTAAGGATATTTGAAGAAATCCTATCACAGTAAGAGTCCACAACAAACAGAAGAAGGCAAGGTATAAGAAAGAAATACCTAGGAAGAGAAAACTTCAAGAAGGTAATCATTCAGATCTTCAGAGAGAGAAGGAAAGAAATTGCAACCATGCCATAGGAATGGGATGTGATTAAGAAACTGAAAACATGCCCTGACTGGTTTGGCTCAGTGGATAAAGCATCGGCCTGTGGACTGAGGGGTCTCCGGTTCGATTCGGTCAAGGGCATGTACCTTGGTTGCAGGCACATCCCCAGTAGGGGGTGTGCAGGAAGCAGCTGATCGATGCTTCTCTCTCATCGATGTTTCTGATTCTATCCCTCTCCCTTCCTCTCTGTAAAAAATAAATAAAATATATTTAAAAAAAACTGAAAACATGAAAGCAGAAATGAAAAATCTTACAGCAGAAACAGAAGGCTGAAAGAAACAGAAGGCTGAATTGAAGAAATTTCTTAGAAAGTAGAGCAAAACAGGAGAGGATAAAAAAGAAAATTGGAGAACCAATTTAGGAGCTCCATTATCTAAATAATAGGTAAAGTAGAGAGAGACCAGAGAAAGTGGAGTAGAGGAACTAGCAACAAAATTATTCAAAATATTTTCTCAGAACTCATGGACATACATTTACAAATTATGAAGGACCCACTGAATTTCCAGTATGGTAGATCAAAATACATCCGCACCAAGGCACTATCATTGTGACATTTCTGGACGCTGAGGGAAAATCACAGTGAAAAAAAAAAAGTCAAAAGGTCAAAGAACCTGGAATTTGAATATCAAACATCTCAACAGCATACTAGAAACTAAAAGTCAAGGAGGCATGTTCAGAATTCTGAGGGAATTTACATCCCACTTAGAATTCCTTACCCAAACTTTTGATAATTTGAAATGGCTTCTCAAAGTCCTTTTCAGGTATCAAAGTCACTGAAAACTTACTTCCCAGGAAACTACTGGAAAATCTGCTTCACCAAAAGGGAGTAAGCAAAGGAAACAGATGTGGGATTCAGGAAACAGGAGATCAGACAAAGGAGATTGCCAGAAAGATGGTGACCCGAGGTTGTAGGCAGAGAGGGTGTCAGTCAGATGTGAGCAGAGGAGAAGGTTCTAGAAGAGTTTCCTTAGGACAATGAAATTGATAGACTGCATGATGTCTGAACTTCCTGAGAGTCAGGCAATTGGTAGGTAGTTTTGAACTGAGTACATAGGAAGCTAAGGTGGAAAAAATCCAAGACAACTCCAGAGAAAACAAAAAATTGTGCAGGAAAGGAGAACTAATGATATATTAATACACAGAGCTCAGCTCTGAATACAATTTATACCATCACAATACTAGAAGCTGACTATCGAACCAGCCAAAATTAGTGGGAAAATGAGGTAAAGGGAATGGGGATGTGTGTGTGTGTGTGTGTGTGTGTGTGTGTGTGTGTGTGTTTGGGGGGGTGGGTGGCGGTGTCTGACAGGAGGAAATTTGTGCATTTTCCCAGGTAGTATGGTATCTGCAGTGAACATCTTCATTCTCCATAGCAGCGGTTCTCAACCTGTGGGTCGCGACCCCTTTGGCGGTCGAACGACCCTTTCACAGGGGTCGCCTAAGACCATCCTGCATATCAGATAATTACATTATGATTCATAACAATAGCAATATTACAGTTATGAAGTAGCAATGAAAATAATTTTATGCGGGGGTCACAACATGAGGAACTGTATTTAAAGGGCCAGAAGGTTGAGAACCACTGCTTTATAGGAAAGGTCAACAGACAATACTGGAATGGAGCAATGCAATCATGCTGCTTAGCTTTATGGTGTTAATAATCAGCTAAAAGAATTGAGGAGGAGGAAATTGGTGGCATATGGGGTGGGACTGATAGTTTTAATAAGAAACCTTTCGGAATTATTTAACCTTCTAAACTGTGTGCATGTATAATTTTGAGGAAAATAAATACAAATAGGAGCAATTGCTACTCTCATTTTGTTACACTTTTAAAAATGTTTGTACACAGGTATACACTGTACACACATACGAATTTTCTTGGAGTGTTTGCTTTGGGCCAGATATTGTGCTGGACCTTAGGAACCCAGCACAGTGTAGATGAGACCAAGTGTGCTTCCATCCCATGAACACTTTCTCTAAAATGCTGAAAAGTTAATTTCAAACACCTGCTATGGAAAATAATAGACCATCCAGTGCAGCAGTTCAATTTTCAGCTAGCGAGATGTCTATAAAATCAACTGAAATGGTCACTGGTAGTTCAGTCATAGGCTTTGGAGGCAATGTCACGTTATATCTGTTGTCATAATACATTCTCACACAATCTCTACGAGGTAGATATTGTTACTTGAGGCTCAGAAGGGTCAGGTAGATTGCCTAAAACTTTACAACGAGTTGGTGGTAGAGTTGGGATTTGAACTTGGGTCTTCCTGATTCCAGATTCATACCCCAGACTGTGATCAATTGAAACATTTTCCCAGGTAGTATGGTATCTGCAGTGAACAAGATCGAACATCTGTCTTTGGGGGGGATCTAATATCAAGATCACTATGAGAGTTTCTTGCTTTGAGAGGTGACATTTTCTTTGAAAACTGTAGAGAAGGAAAAGCTCAGTAAGCATAGGGTATTATCTTTAGTTTCTTCTGTGAGAGAGGTTTTAGGTGAGTAAGTACCTAAATTCACCAGCAGAGTCTACACTCAGGTAAATTTGAATTCATTCAGCATTTATCAAGAACCCTCTACATCAAACCCTTGGAGCTTCAAAATGACACCAACAGGCAAGTGCAATCTGCTGCCATGTGGATGTATGTTCAATGTTAAAATGCTTTGGATTAAGATGTGACCTTGCATGATGAGAGTGATTTATTTATCCATTTATTATTTATCCATATACTTAATAGAACTGTAAAGGTATTTGGGAACTAGGAAGAAGTGATTATTACACATAAAATTAATGATAATAGCTGGAAGCTTTATTTTATTAATAAACACTAGAGGCCCGGTGCACGAGATTCGTGCACAAGTAGGGTCCCTAGGCCTGGCCTGCGATCAGGGCCGATCTTCCCTGGCTGCCAGCAGCCGGCCCAGCCCCCTGCCACCATCGCCGCCGGTCACCCTCTGTGTGTGGGGCGACCACAAGGGGTGACTGGTGGGGTGATCGGGGCCTGGCGCTGCCTGCATCCACCGCCACCCACCCCCAGTTCCCTGTTCTCCATTGGGCGTTTGGAGCCTGCCAGCCGGGGGGAGGGAACAAGAGGTTGGCTGGTAGGTCAGGCGATCGGGGCCTGTGGGCTGGGGGCAGCTCCTGCATTGAACATCTGCCCTCTGCTGGTCAGTGCACATCATAGCTGACCGGTTGTTCCACCATCCAGTCAATTTTTATATTATGCTTTTATATATATAGATTATTGTTTAATTATTATTAAACATTTTTGTTTAGAAAACAGTTCAAACATTACTTTATTTGGGGGTAAAGTGCTTGTTTCTATGAAATTTTGCATTAATAGGTTCTGCCAACCCAGTAAAATTATGGTAGACTTTGCAGAAAATTTGTAGAGGTGACAGACTTGAGCATGAAGATGTTTTTGAAATGTCTACATTTTCTTACAGAGGTTTTAGATTTTACTGTCTCTCATTGGACTGTAACAGACTTTTCAGTCTGCTATAGAGGAATGTCCATAACATAATTGACTCATTTTTTTTTTTTTTTGCATAAAGGAGGAAGACAATGGTGGTATAGTGCCCTAGGATGAGAACGGAAACGTCTGAGCTGCAGCTTTGGTTTTTCCTGAAAGCCTGCATTGTTTGTCTTCCTCTAACCCAGCTTTGATGGACATCTCTGGCAGTTGCCTGTACACAAGCTCTAATGAAATATTAGGAATGGCTGTACATTGAAAAGAAGCCCCATATTATATATCACTGCTGGTAGTATTCATATTTTTTACACACACTGTTTATTGCTTATATGTAGAAGAAATGAAACTAGTTTTCAGAGTTGTTATTAATATGAATATATATCATGTACTAATGTCGAGACAGGAAAAATACATTTCCAGCATTAGCAGTCCTTCATTTCCTGTCTCCAACAGAAAATCCACTCCTTCGGAGAATAATGTAAGTCTTGATAATAAAATAAGAGTTTTGATTAAAAACAGCATACAGCTTCAAAGTGGAATGTAAAGGATTAGTAAAAATCATATCTCATGTTATTTCCTAGCCCTCACACCACAGCTGATGTCAGGCTGGGTTGTTATTATGGAAAACAGTTTGGGAATTAATGCAAAAACATACTCACTTTATATATTTCTGTCTTAGTAAAAGGATTTATTTGAAGATACGAATCTAATCATATTTATTTGACATATTAGAAGCTGTGGTTTCTAAGACAAAAAGAAAGTAGGTACCTTGAATAGCTCCTTTTCCATGATAGAAACATAAATTTAATAGTACCCCTATAATAATTTAGTGGTGTACATTTTGTAAAACTTCAAAATATTTTATTCTGTGAATTTCATGTCTTCAGTATATTGAAACGTTTCTTTCAAAGGTGGCCAACAGTATATTTTAATTAATTATAAGTGTTGCTGGCAAATTTTAGCATATATTTATATATAGTTAAGTGTGACAGAATGAGATGACTTATGTAAAACAGTAGAGTGCCTGGTGCAAAGCAAGTACTTAATAAATGTTTATTGTCATAATTATTGTCATAAAACTAATAACTTCAAAAATATAGTCCTGATTTGGAGGGATTTTGTGATGCAAAATATATGTTAGAAATAGAAATAATACAGGTAGAATAAGCATGTGCTGAGAGATTTTAGATGTGTTGAGTATCGGGGAACATGGAGGTGTGGAAGGGGTAGGGCGGAGCCGTGGGCAGGGAGAGAAAGCACTAGAGCTGCAGCCGAGTGAGGAAGTGGTGTCTTGTGAAGGGTCAGGATGCGTGGCTGCCAGGTCCACATCAGGGCAGCATGAGGCAGAGCCGCTGAGGGGCAGAGGCAAGCCCTGGATTCTTCCTTCCCACGGTTTCTCATGTGTATACAGAAATGAAGCAATGGCAAAGCATGGCTACACAAACTGGCATATTTAAACATTTATATCACAGAAAAAACTGATCAACCACACACTTGCCAAACACTGACTGCAGGTGTGGCCTCCTTTGTGGCCAACATCAAAAGACACACTCCCAACCCTGTCTTGGAGGAGAGGCCCTGGCACGGAGGTTCACACGCACCCATCTCTCTGCTCCGGGCCCGGTTGGGTTGAGCAGCCAGGGGCTGTTCCTGGACCCAACTTCTGATGCTTCTTGTAGTCTCCAACCTTCTGTCCCTTAAGAATACAAAGTAAACATAACAAAAATGAATCCAAATGACTTTCAAGGTGGTATCCAGTTTCCATATTTTCCCTTTTCCTCTCTAATACATAAATATATATGTATATATAAAATTAAGGAATCACATTTATTTGCTGTATATTTTCTGAGTCAAAAGACTAAAATCAACTACTAGGTTCAACGTGTGGTATCCATTGACTAGATTGTGTGGCAGTTTAATATTCTTTAATGTGGAAAATCGCTTGTTTCTGCAGCTAGTAGTACCTCAGAGTCAGATGTGAATGCTGTTGGACAGTGATGCTTCTGTAGAGGTAAATTTGAAAGGGTCATCTGTCAATGAACAAAAGTGCAAATAACTATTAATCAGATCTATCCTGTTTTGATGGTGGCCTGGGAAAGGAAAGGTATGCAACAGACCCTGAAATAGGGGAAGAAGCTTCCTAGAGCAGAAGTGTACGTTGGGAGTGGCGTGGGAGGAGGTAGTTAACTAGGAATAAATGATACATTTCAAAGATCGTGATATTTAGGGTAGATTTTGTTGACCTAACAAAGGAAAAAAGGCGACAAATGGAGGTACTTTTCCACATGGCTTACACGTCTGAAATCTGCTGATTCATGGTAATTAAGGGTTCTGGTCCTGTGTAAGGTCATATTGTTCTCGAAATTTTGTCAGTTAAGATAAGTTGAGCCTTCTCTTTTTTTGTTGGTAAATTTAGTTGTATTTTTGAAGTGGTTGTTTGCGGCAGCAGTCTCCGGTGTTTACCTATGCCGCCATCTTGGTCTCTCCCCCTGCTGTATATTTTCTGAGTCAAAAGACTAAAATCAACTACTAGGTTCAACGTGTGGTATCCATTGACTAGATTGTGTGGCAGTTTAATATTCTTTAATGTGGAAAATCGCTTGTTTCTGCAGCTAGTAGTACCTCAGAGTCAGATGTGAATGCTGTTGGACAGTGATGCTTCTGTAGAGGTAAATTTGAAAGGGTCATCTGTCAATGAACAAAAGTGCAAATAACTATTAATCAGATCTATCCTGTTTTGATGGTGGCCTGGGAAAGGAAAGGTATGCAACAGACCCTGAAATAGGGGAAGAAGCTTCCTAGAGCAGAAGTGTACGTATGTTTTGGGAGTGGCGTGGGAGGAGGTAGTTAACTAGGAATAAATGATACATTTCAAAGATCGTGATATTTAGGGTAGATTTTGTTGACCTAACAAAGGAAAAAAGGCGACAAATGGAGGTACTTTTCCACATGGCTTACACGTCTGAAATCTGCTGATTCATGGTAATTAAGGGTTCTGGTCCTGTGTAAGGTCATATTGTTCTCGAAATTTTGTCAGTTAAGATAAGTTGAGCCTTCTCTTTTTTTGTTGGTAAATTTCGCTGAAGGCTTGCCAATAGTGTTGCTCCTTTCAGAGAACCGACATCTGATTTTGTTGGTTTTCTCTAACTATGTTTCTGTTCTCTATTTCATTCAGTTCTACCCTGTCTTTATAATTTCCTTCCTGCTGCTTGCTTTGGGGTTCGTTTGTCCTTTTTCAGGTATCATAATATGAAAGGGTAGGCTATTGATTTGAGATCTTTTTGTAATACAGGCATTTACAGTTATGAATTTTCCTCTAAGCATTGCTTTAGCTGCATCCTATAACTTGTGGTATGTTATATTTTTGTTTTCATTCATCTCAAAGTATTTTCTAACTTGCCTTGTGATTTCTTTGACCCAATGGTTATGTAGGCACACGTTGCTTAATTTCTACCTAGTTATGAATTCCCAGATTTCTGTTATCGATTTATAATTCCCTTGCATGGTCAGAGGACATACTTTGCATGATTTCAATCCTCTTAAATCTACTGAGACTTGTTTTATGACCTAGCATATGGTTTATCCTGGATTGTATTCCATGTGCACATAGTAGGACCTCTGCTCTCTGAGTGGGCCTGTATGGAAGAAGAGGCTCATGACCTCTTGGTTGTTGTCCCCAGGGATTTAGCCTCTGCAGCCTTTTTAATATTCCTTGATTGGGGGCTGATGGGAAAGGGAGCCCCATCTTCTTGGCCATACCCACCTACAGTGGAGATTTAATCATGTCAACTTAGGGGAGGGGAAGGGAAGAAGTGGGTTGTGGCTCAAATTCCAAATACACTGTTCTTACTGAGATTTAGGAGGTCTTCAGTAAATGTTTCCCTATTTGCTGTATGTCCTTAGGAGAATTTCCAGACACTTTAAAATTCTTTTTATAAACCCGTGATAGTTGTTTACAGGGGGCAGCAGATCTGGGGATCCCCACATTGCCATTCTGGGTGTAATTCTCTGTCATTTAGGGTAGCACAGTACTCAAACTGTTAGGCTGCCAGTTCCCTTTTGGAATTTTCATTTGAATAAGCACATTTTTCAAAAATTTGTGTCAAATATCAACATTGTAATTAAGGGTAGACTCATGCACTTCAATAATTTAAAGTTTCTTAAAATGAAAATGAGGTTGACATATCATTCATTAACTTATTGAGTTAATAACTGCAATTTTATTTCACCAGTTATTTCTCTAATTAATTAAAAGCAATTAATTTGTATGTGCTGATTAATGCTTTTCATGTCTTAACTCTTGACTCTTGCAACTTAACCATCTTGAGGATAGTTCATTTTCCTTAGAACTATCCACATTTAGTGGGAAATAATTAATATAACAAATATTGACATGATTAAAAAGCAACCTCTATTAATTTTAATGCAGAATATTATCTTGGGTCATAGTAGAGGGTATGATGAAAAGGAAGAGGCATTATACACTGATGATGTAATGCAGCCCCTGAGGATATGCACACAGAAACAGTCTCCTCTTTTTCCTGTTCCTTTCCTGTATTTAGAGTTGTGTGTCTGGCATGAAACTCCTAACGGGCTCTCACTGAGATAATGAGGTGGTGAGACCCTTCGTACATTTTTTAAGAAAGATAAAAACAATACAGAAGAAAGGATTTTAAATTAGAAATTTTTGTGTCATATCAGACTTAGATTACATTTTAATAAGGCACACTAGAAGTTTTATACTTTGAGTCATACAGGAATACTCATTTGGAAATGATGCTATTGAGTTTTAAGAAACTTTCCAATTTCTGAAACTTAAGTGGATCTGCATAAACTACTGCCTTGCAATGCTTTTACTCCCCAACTGGAACACTGTAGTTTTAGTCAGTAGAACTTAAGAAATTTCTTAGAGCTGTTCCAAAGACCTGAATATGCTTGCTTCATACCTTGGGGGCCTGATTCATTTCCAGAATAACTCTACTGCACAATTCCTGTGTTAAACTTTAATTGCTTCCAAATTATATTGCAATTCAGTCAACCTCAATAGGAATTTCCTGTGAAATTATATTAGAATCTGGCCCAAAGGGGTGTGTGTGTGTGTGTGTGTGTGTGTGTATACACATATATATATATATATTATAAAATGCAGATCAAAGTCTGACATTGCATGAAAAACACTTTATCTTTTATAACATAAAGATGCTTCTTCCTGGCATAAAGGAAATCCACAGTATTATCATAGCAAAAGACTGGGATGAAAATGGACTCCTTGCAATTTCAGTCATATTAAATAAATTTCCTTGCAAACATTTTTTGAACAAATCTCATTCGAATGAAATAATCTTACTTTAAAAAACCCTATAACCTACATGATTTCTTTTCCCTTCTTTCTACTTACATTTAGAAGTTATATTTATGTGGAATAGTTCCAAATATCCAATAAATACATTTGAGGTCTTATTAAAAATTCATATGCAAGTCTAGTGAAGACTTATGATGGTTTTGCAGAGAGGGAATGGTAGTCATGGTGGCCAAACCCAGCCTTCAGTTTGGGAAAAAACAGGAGCCAGGTTAAAAAAAAAAGCCTTTAATTCCACACATTTTTATTTGCTAAGTCCACAGAAAGGAAATGTGAATACAGTTCTTACGGGGAAACTGACCTTAGTGCTTCTCGAGCACCAACGGGGTGATTTCCTCTTTTGTAAAAGTGTGAGAAAATGTCCTAAGTGGCCCTCTGTTGTGAGAGACAAGTAGCAGGCGGGCAGTTAACTCCAGAGGACAGTGCATCCCACGTAGGTTAGGATTATTATTACTGTCAGTCCTTGCACAAAGTGCACAGTGAAAACGTTCTGTGGACATTGCTTATGCCATTATTTCTCAGTGCAGTTCTGAGCCTTGGGCTCCGGCCTTGTGTTCTTCCGTCCTCAGGGCCTCCCCGAGAAGATTGTAAGACCCACTGTTGCTAACTCACACTTCATCCTTGGAGGCCTTTTCTTCTGGGTTACTGACAGGTGGCCTGTAATTTTACCATCTCATGCATTTGTATTAAATATCTTTAATGATCAAAATCACTGTATGATGGGAATTAGTCTAAGGGTGTAAGCCAGAGGAAACTTTTGCCTTCTCTTTTTCTAACTCACCTTTTAAAAAGAGGCCAGCTAGGCTGACATAATTAATTTCCGGCG